ATGTGTGGAAAAAGGGACACTAATACACTGTTGGTGAGAATGCAAACTGGTAAAGCATTGGAAGTCAGTCTGGAGATTCCTCAGAAACCTGAATATAACCCTACCATACAACTCAGCCATACCACTCCTTGGAATTTACCCAAAGGAAATTAAATTGGCAAACAAAAAAGCTGTCTGCACCTTAATGTTTATTGCAGCTCAATTCACAATAGCTAAGACCTGGAATCAACCTAAATGCCCATCAACAGTAGACTGGATAAAGAAATTTGGGACATGTACTCTATAGAATACCATAGAGCAGTCAAAAACAATGAAATCTGGTCATTTGCCACAAGATGGAGGAATCTGGAAAACATCATGCTGAGTGAATTAAGCCAGTCCAAAGGGACAAATATCATATGTTCTCCCTGATCGGTGACAACTAACCAAGCACCTTGAAGGAAACCTGTTGAAGTGAAATGGACACTATGAGAAACAGTGACTTGATCACCCCTTGTCCTGACTGTTGATGTACAATTTAATACTTTATCCCTTTTAGTATTTTTTTTTAATTCTAGTTAATACTATTGGTTGAACTCTGTAATTAACACACAATTATTATTAGGTGTTTAAAACTAACTGAATGCTGGTGCCGCGGCTTACTAGGCTAATCCACTGCCTTGCGGCGCTGGCACACTGGGTTCTAGTCCCGGTCGGGGTGCCGGATTCTGTCCTGGTTGTCCCTCTTCCAGGCCAGCTCTCTGCTGTGACCAGGGAGTGCAGTGGAGGATGGCCCAAGTCCTTGGTCCCTGCACCCCATGGGAGACCAGGATAAGTACCTGGCTCCTGCCATTGGATCAGCGTGGTGCGCCGGCCACAGCACGCCGGCTGCGGCAGCCATTTGAGGGTGAACCAATGGCAAAGGAAGACCTTTCTCTCTCTCTTTCTCACTGTCCACTCTGCCTGTCAAACAAAACAAAACAAAACAAAAACAAAAACAAATAACTGAAAACTGATCCCTGTTAAATATAACAGTGGGAATAACAGAGGGAGGAGATGTACAGTTTGGGACATGCTCAATCTGTCTTGCCCCAAATGCTGGAGTTAGAAACGTGCCAGAGGATTCCAATACAATCCCATCAAGGTTGCATGTACCAAAGCCATCTCACTAGTCCAAGTGATCAGTGTCAGTTCACAATTGATCACACTGATAGGTCTAAGAGTCAAAGGGATCACACAAACAAGACTAGTGTCTGCTAATACTAACTGATAGAATCAAAAAGGGAGAGAACGATCCAACATGGGAAGTGGGATACACAGCAGACTCATAGAATGGCAGATGTCCTAAATAGCACTCTGGCCTCAGAATCAGCCCTTAAGGCATTTGGATATGGCTGAAGATCCCATGAGAGCATTTTAGGCATGGAAAGCCAAGACACCCTGGGGAAAAACAAAAACAAAAACAAAAACAAAAAACACCGAAAAAACACCAAAAAACAAAAAACAAACAAAAAACCAAACCAAAACAAAAAAAACCAAACCTAAATGAAAGATCTCTGCTAGTGAGATCCCAGTAGAAAGAAGAGGGCCATCAAAGAAGGAGGTACCTTTCTCTGAAGGGAGGAGAGAACTTCCACTTTGACTAGACCTTGTCTGAATAAGATCGAAGTCAGTGAACTCAAAAGGCTTCCATAGCCTTGACAACTCATGACTAGAGCCTAGGGAGATTCCTGACGCCATAAACAGGAGTGTTAATTTGTTAAGTCAACAACAGGGAGTCACTCTGTACTTATTCCTCATGTAGGATCTCTGTCCTTAATGTGTTGTACAATGTGAATTAATGCTATAGCTAGTACTCAAACAGTACTTTACACTTTGTGTTTCTGTGTGGGTGCAAACTGATGAAATCTTTACTTAATACATACTAAATTGATCTTCTGTATATAAAGATAATTGAAAATGAATCTTGATGTGAATTTAACGGGAAAGGGAGTGGGAGATGGGAGGGGTGCGAGTGGGAGGGTAGTTATGGGGGGGGAAGCTATATTGTAATCCATAAACTGTACTTTGGAAATTTATATTTACTAAATAAAAGTTAAAAAAACCAAGAGGGCCTTTGACTTAACTTTGTCGATTGCTTATATCAGACCCTTGATCCTTAGGGATCCAGAAGCTTCCTGGGGCCAGCCTTATGGCACAGTGGGGTAAGCTGCCACCTATGATGCCAGCATTCCATCTGGGTGTTGGTTCAAGTACCAGCTGCTCCACTTCCAAACCAGCTCCCTGCTAATGCATGTGGGAAAGCAGCAAAGATTGTTCAAGTATGAACCCTGCCACCCAAGTGGGAGACCTAGATGAAGTATCAGACTCCTGGTTTCCGCCTGGACCAGCCTTGGCCACTGTGGCCACATGGGCAGTGACTCAGCAGATGGGAGGTTCTCTCTCTCTCTCTAACTCTGCCTTCCAAAAAAATAAATCTTAAAAAAAAGCTTCCCAAATCCACGTTTACACATATTATCTTGAACCTCTATTGTGGGGAGCAACTGAGACTAGACTAAATTACTGGAACTGCTAAGACTAATTCTATGCATCTGATCTCCCACAATATGGCACTGAGAGAGAGCAAACAACTTCCACACAGCCGCCTCACCAATTCAACTAACAAGCTGCAGGAGCTGATCCTGCTCCTGATTGGAGGAGAGCAGCGTGCTTGGTGTGTGGGCAGCAGTGCATGGATTGGTGGAAGAAGATTATAAAGGAGGAGAGAGACAACATGCACCAGGAACATCTGAGGAACATCTGAGCAACCCCTGAGAGAGCTGGCCGGCGGTGTGCTGCTCCTCCGCAGAAGCGGGGGAAGTGGCGGGGGTGCCGCCCCTCCGCGGAGGCTGGGGGGGGGGAGGCAGCAGCAAACCCAGGACAGCATCGTTCCTCCACGAGTTGGGGGACCGGCAGCAAACCCGGGAAGGGCCGTCAGCTAACCCGGGAAGGGCTGGGGAAAAAGAACAACGCAGGGTCTGGTGTCGTTCCTCCACGAGTTGGGGAGTGACACTCTATAATAAAGATGAAATTTGACAATGAGTAGTTGTGCAATGAGAACTAAATTATAAAGTGTATCCTTTTTTTCATGTAGATCTGGCACTATTTGGATACTCTGAATTCTGATCTCATTCAACCAATGTGCTTGCACTGATTTTCACTTTTTTGTTCTACACTTTTAGGATTTACAAAGTATTTCTTGTGTGGACTATTCCATCTTCGCCTTTGCTGTTGGTCATGTTGAGATATTCATTTTTGATTCAGGAAGTTAATTGTGGAATTTTATCTTTACTAGTGTTTTCATTCAGAAAACTGTTCCAGATTGAGTCTAAGAAGTCAGTTGATTTCTACAGAAGCTTCTATTTCCTTCCAACAAGTCAATTATAGGCCGTTTTACCTGTTAAGAAAGAAATGGCTGAACAATTTTATAGCTCTCTTGTTCAACTCGATCACATTGTCTGTATAGTAGTGATGATATTTGTTTGAGTTTCTTCACTTTCTTAGAGAGACCAGAATTATTGGTATACTGTGACAGTGGAAAGGTAATTTTAAATCTCATTTGGAGCACGGAGGTCTCTTTCAGCTTAGAGTATGAGCTGAACTGGATCTCCACTTTCTTACACTTCCTGTATTGCTCTATTAAACATCTTCCTAGGGGCCAGAAGATCCAGGAAATTCTGTTTAATCACTTCATGCCCAGTATAATGGGGACCACATTTGCAGGATGTGTGGCATGATAACCCCCTGTGGATAGCCTAACAGCTGTTCCCAGTTGTAACACATGCAAAGTGAAATAGTCACACACTTTTCCTCAGGGCTTATGGCACAAAGGAAGAATGTTTAGGAGGTTAATTTGCCCACATTCATATAGCTATTATGTTGTAGAGACTAGTTTAGATTCAAGTTTGGGCTTTTTCTTTGCTTTTAAAAATTATTTTTACATTATACCCTACCATCAAAGAGTACATGGGAGGCCTGTTCAGTTTTCATGGCAGGAAAGGGTTAGTATGCAGAAGTTTGAAGATGAGACTACTTGGCTGTTAATGTGCACATTGGCTCCCAGGACCTCATAAGCCTTCTCACACACCTCATCAGTCTTCTCAAACATTTTTTGCCAAAGTGTCCTTTCTACTGGAAGAGATTGTTAACACCATTCCGTTGCTGATTTGGGCCTCAGTACAAGAGGGTTGACAATGTAATCTTCATACGTTTGAGAGAGTAGCTCTACACCAGGGATTCTTTGAATGTGATTCCTGCACCAGAAGCATCAACATTGTTGGGGAGCTTCCGAGAAACGCAAACTACCCCAGATCTACTGAGTGAGAAATACTGGGGGTGAGACAGTTTTACAAGTCTTCCAGTTGATTCTGATACACATTAAAACTTGAGAACCACTGCTATAACCAAGATTCTCAGAAAACTCTTCAGTTCACAATTTGTTCTCAATTGTGAGGAAAATTGTATAAAATATTCTTTAGGACTAGAATGTCAAAGAAAAGATTTCCTTCCATGAAGGGAATTCATCTATTAAGCATCTGCTGTATACAAAGGACTACACAAACTACTGTAGGAAAAGAAAAGAGGATTAAAATATACTCCCAACCATCTGTTAATTCATTTAGTGTTAACGAGCTGGCCAAAGTTGATTTGCCAGTAAAATAGATATGAGCATTGCACATTGGCCTGTCTTCTTGGCTATGTGTAATACTTTCTCATATGCACACACACACAAAAGGGGCTAAATTCATCACTGTATCATTGACACTACCAAAGCACCCTTTGCTCTTTTCAGATTGGAGAATGAAAAATGTTCATTAAAAGCTTAGCAGTTTGAGCCATAATATTCATCCGGTCAGAGAATGCAAGAGAATACTTCTTGTCGTTGCTTTTGCCTTGCCAATCAGCCCAGTCCCAAGAACCTGAGGATAGATGAGGCGCACAAAACCGTCTTCCACCTGCTCAGCAATTACACAAATTTGCAGTAGCCTTTCCCTTCTATTTAACTTTTATTAAAAGAAACGCTAAGGTACTGAGATGCAGTACATCATATTTATTACCAAAATTATTAACAAATATACAAAACTTATACATGTAATTTTCTTACATCCATTTATCCTCTATAATACTGATTTTGTTCAAGTAGGTTATCTACAGTATGTAAACATCCCTTGGATTGACCTCACACAGATTAGGAAAGCCCTCTAACCCATGCTTTTATCAGATACTTCTTCTTATTTGGCTTTCGTTTGTAGCATCTAATCTCCACATTTGGCACATGGAAGAGACATCTACAGTGCAAAAGAGGCAGACTTTCTGGTTTCATTCTGGACAATTTCGCAGGGTTACAGAGGAGGCCATGGGCAGGCCGTCTCGGTGTTGGTGGATTAGCCGTAATGCCAAATCTTGGTCCAGCCATTGTACTCAAGCACACAATGTCTCTTCCTTCTCCCACCCTCCCACCCACCCCCATGCAAGGATGATTCAGTCTTCACCTTGTCTCAAAGGGTTAAAAGAAATTCCATCCATCCCAGAACAAATCGGTCGATCTCACCCAGGAACCATTTTTTTCTGCTTCTTTTGCGTGGGTGGGTTTCTGCATTTTGATGATCCAGCAAAACTTTCCATTTAGGAGAAAAAGATAAAAAATGGACACGAGAGTAGACCTTTCCATCTGCGTTCAGTTAACATCTGGGCCTTTTTGTGGTGACAAAGTGAGAAACCTTGAAGAACAGCAACGAAACGCCAAGCTTGCCGTAACACCTAAGCTCTGAACACCATATCCAAAATTTTAAAAAGAAAGGAAAAATGGCAATTGGAGATTATCCCCTCGTCTTCCTGGGTTTCCTTTTGACCACCTAGCTTAACCTAACCAAGTAAAGCTGATCCAGAGAGAGCTCTGCTCGCCGGCTCACGCCCACCCTCGACTCTCCAGCGCAGTATTGCTCATGGGGTCGGCCGCACCGCGTCCGCGAAGCCTCTGCCGAGAACGTCTGAATTTGGACGCACGCCTGCCTCCAGGCTTCCGTCACCACAGCGGCGCAGGCGCATCCGCTGCTCCGTACAGCTCCGCCAGCTTCCGGAAGCGGGGCCCCCAGTCCGTCAGGAAGTCGAAGCTCTGCTCGGAGTCTGATGTGGCCGACTGCAGGGAGCTCAGCGACCCCGCCACCGAGCCGTCCCCCTCGAACATGTAGGTCTGCAGGGAGTCGAAGGGCGGGGCCCACAGGTCCATGTCGGCCTCGTAGAGCTTGGCCAGGACGTAGCTGTGGACGGTGCTGTTGACGGCGCACGTCTGAGGCACGTAGCGGGAGAGGCTCTCGATCTCGGGCAGCATGTCCTGCCGCGTCTTGGGGGCGGCGCCCGCCTGCGCCTCCCGCGGGTTCCACATGGCCGCGATGTCGAAGGCCTCCGTGTCCTCCTCGCCGCCGCCCTCGTCGTCGTAGCGGACGATGTTCTCGTGGATGTTCTCGTCGTCGTCGATGATGTAGGGCTGCTTGCGGTGCCGCCTCATGGACAGAATGAGCAGGACCAGCACTGGTGGGAGAGAGGAGAGGCCCGCGTCAGCCACGGGGAGCAGGGTTTACCGAGCCGGGAGCTCCGAGGCGGCCTGGGCGCCCCTGCACCTGCCGGGGCCCCAGAGTCGGCCGCCGCGCTCCTTCTGCCACGTCGCATCGGGAGACGGGGCCAGCGAAGCCTGGTTCAGGGACAGGAAGTCTGTTGCATCAGGCTGCTCTGTGTGTGTGTGTGTGTGGGTGGGTGTGTCTACAGCCAAAATACAATGGCTAGGAAGTGCTAGGGGTCTGATCCTGTGCTCTGTTTATATAGTAATGAATATCCATCTCTTATTGTAAGGTGGGAATCTTATGGTGTTGGTGCAATTCTTCCTTACTGTAGCATTTTAATAGGATGCTACTCTATAAATAAAGTCTATTTTTTATCACACGGAAAAATGCTTTCTTGATTTTATTGTTGATAGTTCTATATGCAGTATGCGACTGTGACTATTAACATTACATAAGGAAAATTGAGACCAAAGTGAGTTCCGATTGTTCTCAGTTCTGTAACAAATGACTAAAGTCTTGTGTGGATAAATATGCATGTAGTCATGTCCACTAGGGACAAGCCAAAGTTGTCATCTTTTTACACCTCCTCCTCCAAAAAAAAAAAAAAAAAAAAAAAAAGGACATAAATGATCCCCATGGTCTGGCAACCCAAGATTGGCCGGAAAAACCTTTCATTAGAGGACGGAGTTGCGGCTTTCTGGATACAATAGTGTTCACAGAAGGGAGGGAATGAGCAGAGACATTTTATATAATTCATTGTGTTATCAAAGAAGCACCACACTGTTAGATGTGCCCTTGCAGCTTTGGATAAAATTTTATCCCAACAAATGCATTACTCCTTCCCTCCCCCCACACCCAGGATGTGTTCACTGGAGTTTAAAGGAGAAAGAGATAATCCCATTGAGCTGTTTATCTCTGTGGCTGAAAACATTTCCCAGGAAGTGTGTCGAGGTTTTAGCTGTAGAACTGCTATTGATTTTTTTTTTCTGGTGTGCTTTGTTACAGCTGGTGAACAGTGGCAGTTTGACAGCACTGCAAAGTAAGACCCCGCTTTATCTGAGAAAGAAAATGGAGTATAGTCATATGTGTAGTAAGAGATTACAGACTAACTAATAAACCTCCAATGATTTTTTTTAACTATTGAGTGTAGGATGTGCATTTTGTACGATTGCAATTAACAGCGTTAATACCTAGTATTTTCCAGAATGACTTGAATGACAAAATGCACACATAGGGAACAATCACAAGCTCTTGTGTATTTTTCTGTGAGCAAAAATATGAGGCATGAACTTGAAGGACTGATTTCGGAGAGGGAGAGTAAGAGGACTTTTAGAAGTGGGGCCTTGGAGGCACTCAGGGATGGACTGGGAATTGGATTGATGCAGGTTGGAGGAATGGGATTCTAAGTGACGTGCTGTTTGTGGCAGTCAGTAGATGGCTACTAAACCCAGTTTGTAAAAGGCTTGATGATAAGCAGTGGGGAAACAGCATTGACTACATCATTGTTTCTGCTCTTTTGAATTTGCAGACCATGGAGACTACAGATGCTGATGCTTAGTTCACATTAGACAGTGATAAGGGCTATGGTAAGGTCAAAAGTAGTACCAAGAGAGTAGAGAAACAACACCAGTGAATTCTGCCTGAGGGACTAGGAAGGCCCACCCAGGTGACCTTGGAGTGGTTAGGATAGTATTTTAGAAAATGCTAGAAAGCAAAAGTAGAGAAGTCATTGAATATCTGCTGGAGAGAATTTTTATGGTGATGGATAATTAAGCAATTTATGGAACTGGTCCATTTTTTGAAAAAATAAATATTGCTATACCTTATTTTTTAGGTAATTTGCATAATTCTCTGAAAATTGGATTCTAGGAAAGATGGTCCTATTCAGCTGAAAAGTCTCCTTGATTCCTTGACAATGAAGATTCAATTTTAGGGATGCTTGTTTTTTAGGTACTATAGGCACACAGTGTAGGGCTTACAGGATTTTCTAGGAACTGGCTATGACTTGGAGACATGAAAAAAACCCTTATAAAATCAGAATTAGTATGTTTATTGTCTACAGAATATAGTATTTTGTTGACAAATCGATTACAACTCAAATCTTAACAACTTGAATTAATTTAATGTGGAATGTATAACCTTAGAAATAAAAATGCATAAAATTGTGGGGTTAGTTTCTGAAAACTCTTTCTTTATTCTTTAAAATTAAACAGACAAGGCACAATGGATTTGGGATGGATCAGAAAATGATCCCTTGCACACCACTTCTAACATGAAGGCCTCTGGGAGCCAATCTCTTTAAATCAGTCTTTTTGTAATGATGGATGTTTGTGGGCCAGGGTGAACTTAAACATTTTGCAAAGATAGAAGTGAGAACAATCAGGCTAGAAAAGGGTCCTCGGAGCAAGTTTTCTTCAGAGGCCTTTTGCAAACCAGTTTTGCACTGAAGGACTCCTAGTGCCACCATATGGACACTCAGGGAATTGCATGGAGCTTTTATCTGTCATTACTGACACATCCCAGAAACTAATTTTCTTGGATCCAAGGACTTAAAAAGGTTACTGTAATACTACTTCTTTTTTCATATAGGCCTGAAATACTACAATACATTGGAACTGTAAGTAATATTTTAAAATTTGTTTCAAGAAGTACATTTTAAAGACTTACTTAGAAAATCAAGTGCTGAGATTTTTCACATCAGGAATGTCTTTGATCTACCTCAGTCTCTTGGTGTAGAGGTGAACTTGGAGCATGTGTGGACATCTGAAAGTTTATTCTAATTTAAATTCCCAGTGCTTCCCCCACACAGAAAGCTGAGATTTCTTTTCTGTTGAATATTATTACTGTCTATTAGTACAGTTTTCTCTAAGCAGGATGGATATGCATGGATCGATTCAATAAGAAGAGTTGGGATATATGTACGATACTTTCTTGGTTTCCAGAGCTGACTTAGGTGTTCAGTTGTTTTTGATTGGGAAGTTAGAAGACAGTTTTATGGATGACCCTTTGTTCAAGGGAGTTGGGTGGCTGCTTTGCAGTATGATTTGAAAGGGGGAAGGAAGGGACCCCTACCCAGGAGTGCTCTCCCACTAGCCTGTCGTCACATCTTTTTATTTTGCCAGCAGAGGCAAACTGGTGCTGTGTAATCACTGCTCTTTCTTAGAGGGTCGCAATGTCTGGGAGGGGTGTTATGTCCCAAACAGCTTATTCCTCAGAAATCCGTCACTTCCTTCAGATTTCTGCTCAGGGGTCTTAGGAGCAAGGGCTCCCCTGACTACTCTATTTGAAATGACCTCTATCCCTTCGCCTATCTACGCGGGATGCTCTGTCCCTCCTTGCTTCTCTGAGACACTTAGCATCTCCAGAATCTTGGCTGAAGTGTTTAGGAGAAGGGCGGTGTTGCTGAGACACAGGGGTGCTCAGTCTACAGCCTGCCAGCATTTCAGTCCTGGTTCTGCCTCTGACGTTTGGTTTTGGACCTGACACTACCCCTCTGTGATTTAGCTGCCACTTATCTGAAATGAAGGCATTAGAAGAGGTGGTCATCATATCATGTCCAGAATGTAATTTTGGTTCCATGATGTCAAAATGAACTTGCTTTGTTCTAAAGTAAACTCTGTAAAGGCCGGCACCTGTTTGTCTTGTTAATCCCAGCACAGAGTCTGGTGCTCTGACACTTAGCAAATGCTTGATAAATGTATGTGTCTTGGTCTTAAAAAAGAGGCCTTGAAAAAAGGAACTGTATTCAGTTTCTTTACTTTTCTTAGACTTAACTTTTCTACCCTTTCAGTGAGTGTAGAGTCGAAGACCAGTTCTGAATAGTTGTGTTAGGCTGGTAACTGATTGACAAGTAAGTAAGCATTTGCAGGACCCCATAGAACAGAAAGATGCTACTTACCTAAGAGAACAAAGATACAGGCCAGGATGGCGATGAGGGCACCCCGGCTCAAACTGACTGGAAGCATGTAGGCCTCAGGGCTGCAGGACATGACATGGCCATCATCGTCACAGCTGCACACCTGGATGGTCAGCGTGCCTGTGCTGCTCAGCACGGGCTCCCCACTGTCTGCAATCAGGATGGGCAGGTAAAAGACACTCTGCTCTTGCTGCCGGAAGCCAGCTCGCCGAGTTAGAATCTGGGCAGTGTTATCTGAAGAAAGAGAAGGTTCCAGGATTGAAAAAGGGAAGAGGAAAATGGGGAGGAGAAAATGGCAGAACCAACAAATGACCTGATTTTTAGGATTGAGGAAAACAAGGGGGCCAGGGACAGGGTGTAGGAAGGAGAGAAAAGGACAGTGGAACATTCCCTGGAGGTGTTCAGCGACAACCATGGCAGGTTTGCCTAGATCAGCATTTGGACTCTGAAACCAAGATTTTTGCTTGCTTTTAGGCAAAACCCTGAAGCCTAGCAGAGAACCCCTTTTTTTGAGAGTCTGTCTTATCCTTTGTGACATAAAGTGCCCGGGGCAAACTGTCACACTTCAGATCTAACAAAAATGTCCCTGGGAAAGCTTGACAGAAATGAACAATCACTGGCGACCCGTGGTCCCTGTTTGTTCCTGCTCAGCAGCTTGCCAGGGCCCTGGTGCTGCTTTGTGCCTCCAGGAAGAGGCTCTGGCAGAGTGCGTATTTCTGCCACTTTGGCTGGAATTTGCGTCTGTGCTCTTGTATGTCTTTGCAATGCAGGGACCTTCTCCTCCTGTGCTTCCTGAAGAACCTGTGCATTTGGCAGGTGCTATCTGCAATCTTCTAGTCACATGACACACCTTGCAGGTTATTCTGCCTGCTTCGTGGTCTGAGTTTGAGTAGTTAATACGAACTTGATGAAAATTTGTTCCTTACTGGCAGTATTAGTTATTTCGCCTCCAGTATTAAACAGGATTATCAACCTATTGGAAGTACTTGTACAAAGCTGATGTGTGTGTATTTGTATTCACATATTGCCATGTTCTAGGATATTTTTATTTAATTTGTATTCTAAAGCTTCTTGGGGTGGATTTTGAATTTCAAAGCAGATATATTTTTACAAAGCTCAGATCATTTGCAGTTGAGATATGTTAGAGTTGTGGACGGACATACGGGAAGTATTATTGTAAAGGTAGTTTCATCAACACAGAAGGTCCTCTGGTTCTGTTACTCATTTCCCAGGGAGGAGTCTACATCTTCACAAAAAATCCTAGGAGCCTAACCATCATTTTATCAGTGATGATCATTATTTCTGCTTATCTTTCCCTTCTTGTACCTAAGAAAGGATTATAACTTTGTACCTTCTTGAATTTGGGCATGAGTGTTTGCTTAATGAACCATGAGCAGGAGTGATTTGTGTTATTTCTGGGGAGAAGCACTTATAAGGTGTGTGGTTCTCTGTGCGCTCTTACTTTGCTGTTGTCACTGAGAAGGAATGTGTGAGGTGGAAATCCAGACAGCCTGGGACACGGAATTACATGTTCAGTCCCTAAGGCCCACGGTGGGCAAGTGTGAGCAAAGAGTTAACTTCAGTCGCACTAAGCCGCAGAGATGCGGTGGTGTTTGTTCCTGGTTCTTGTAATACAGTACACCCTAATTAACTTTTTTTGTTTCCCCTGGTTCCTCGTGGTAGCAACTATTGTTTACCAAGTGCTCATGTGCCAGCTCTTCACTCTAAATGCAGTGTCTCAAACATCACAGCAGTTTGGTGAGACGATAATTTACTCTTTTAGAGTGAGAGATTCAGGCATAGAATGTGTTATTTGCTCAAAGTAACCCATCTAGCAGTAGCAGAGCTGAGATTTGAACTGTGTTCGATCTGACTCTAAAACATGCACTGCTTCCACTGTGCTTTGTATCCAGCTGTTTAGTAACATTAACTGTCAAAAATTATCCAGGTCGTTGTAATCTCTTTTTGCTTCTTATTCTTTTTTTTTTCCTTATTTTCTTCTCAGTAAAGAAAAGATCCCAGGCCAGAGTTGTGTTCCAGTGGGTTAAGGTGCTGCCAGCAGTGCCAGCATCCCATATGAGCTGGGTGCTCCACTTCAGATCCAGTTCCCTGATGACGAGCCTGGGAAAGCAGTGGAAGATGGCCCAAGCACTTGGCTGCTGCCGCCCGTGTGGGAGACCCTGATGCAGCTTCTGCTTCCCAGCACTGGCCTGTCACAGCCACAGCCATTCACGCATTTCGGGAGTAAACCAGCAAATGGAAGATCTCTCTCTCTCTGTCTCTCCTTCCTCATATCTCTCTCTAACTTAGCCTTACAAATAAATAAATAGATTATTTAAAAGATAGCACTATGTTGCCAACCTGAAGGTTATCTTTCTACTGCCATACAACCTATCCACCTTCCACTTTTCTGTTTTCTGGACTTAATAGCGAAGAACTATGAATTCTTCTTTGTAGTTTTAATTTTGTGAAGAAGAAATCAGTTTTTCTCTAAAATCAACTATTTTTATTTTTTAATTTTTGGTTTAATCCCAGCTAGGTCAGAAGACTTTTAGTGAAACCAAAGCAGAATGTCCTAAAAGTATTATGTCTGTTTCATGGTATATATTTCTTTTTTCTAAGATTTATTTTATTTATTTGAAAGACAGAATTAGAGAGGTAGATACAGAGAGAGAGGTCTTCCATCCCCTGATTCACTCCCCAGGTGGCTGCAACTGCTGGAGCTGAACTGATCCCAAAACCAGGAGCCAGGAGCTTCTTCCAGGTCTCCTACATGGGTGCAGAGGCCCAAGTACGTGGGCCATCCTCTGCTGCTTTTCCAGGCGTATTAGCAGGAATTGGAAGTGGAGCAATGGATTGGAAGTGGAGCAGCCAGGATTTGAACCGGCACCCATATGGGATGCTGGTGCTGGAAGCTGGGCCTTTATTTCGCTGCACCACAGCACTGGCCCTGGTATATATTTCTTGACCTAAGAATTATTTGAAATTAAAAAGTAAAAAACCCGCAACATTCCTTTGTTGAGTCCAGTTCTGAAAGGGGTTCACAAATAGCCATTTGGGAAATTTTTGTTGAATGGGATAATTAGCACTTTAGTAACCCATTTGGAAACAACATTTGTTTCTTTTTTGTTTGTTTTTTAAAGATTTATTTATTTGAAAGGGAGGGGGAGGGGAAGAGGAGAGAGAGGGAGAGGAAGAGGCAAAGGGAGAGGAAGAGAATCTCCTTTTGCGGGTTCACTCTTCAAATGGCTGCAAAGTTTGGGGCTCAGCCAGGCCAAAGCCAGGTGCCTGGAACTTCATCCAGGTCTCCCATGTGGGTGCAGGGACCCAAGCACTTGTGCCATCATCTGCCCCTGCTTTCCCAGGCACATCAGCAGGGAGCTGGATCAGAAGTGGAGTAGCTGAGACTTGAACCAGTGTTTTGATATAGTATTGATCACATGCTCCACCACAGCACTGGCCCTAGCATTTGTTTCTGAGAGGACAGTGTGTGTGTGTGTGTGTGTGTGTGGCTGGCTACAACAAAACTCAATTTATAGCCCCAGTCTTACTGCTTATTCACTTGCTGATCTTGGGCCATTTACTTAGTTTTTGCATCCATTACATGGGACATTGAGAATCAGATTAGCAATGTTCTTGAAACAAAATAAATATCAGATAAAACAGAGTATGGGAAAGTGCTTTTGAAACTGTAAAGTACTACATATACATAATCCTTTTCATCTGTTGGGACTAAAAAGTACAAAAGACTTGACTTGAGATAGTGCCCAATGTGTTCATAAAAGGATACCCTATTTCAGGCACAGGAGTGGGAGGTGCTTGATGTAGATTAGATGTCAGATGTCAGCCAGATTTTTAATGAGCCTCAGTAAAGGATACAAGTGGGATAAATTGTCATGAGATTAGGAGTTCCTGCTTTCTGTTGAGGATGTGCTGACTTGTGTTTTGGGAACCATCCAAGAGATGAGTCATTTATTTTTATAGTCACCCTGTTCTAGTGGCCCAGCTTTTCAAAGTATTGGTTTCAAGAATTGGTGCCCAAAGTCATCTTTAAGAAATTTGCAGCATTTCACTGCATACTGTTTCTGTATTGATTCTAACAAATGCCAGGGCGCAGGAATAGAGTGACACTCTGCTGAAAATGTGAAGAAACAAAATATAATGTGTAGTTCTCCTTCCCCACCATAGCGTGTCCTTTGTAAAACCAATCCTGATAAGACTGAAACCACTTTTTGTGGGAAGAGTATCCCTATGAAGAAGATAGCAACTTAAAAATTTTGGCCCTATAGAAATCTCAAGATATTTATAATAATTCATATTATTATAGTTCATGTTGCCCTTTTTCCAGAATGAACATAGGGATTTTTATGATAACATGTAGAAGGTTGAAAGGACATTTTATAAGAATGCTGTTCATTAAGAAGAAAACAGGTTTGACACTCTTAATTTATAGCAAAAGAATATCCCATGCATTGAGTTAATACCCTCAAATTAAATTAGCTGATGCCTAAGACTAAGACCAGCCAAGCCTAATCATGATTTTCGTTATCCTTTACTTAGATTGTTACAAAGTGACAATATTTTGGAATTGGAGTAAAAAATGAGGCTATTGTAGCCCAGAGAAGTGATAACCTTCCCAAGACCAGATGTCTAGTTGGTCACAGAGTTAACAACAGAAGAGGTTCATTGAATAGATTTAAAATATTTTTAATTGCACTGACCTTTCTTAGAAGCACTTCATCTGGCTAGAGAACAAAAGTCCCTCCTTTTAAAGTCTGTGCCCAGTGAAGAGTGTGTGCCGGGCTATAAACCCTTAACTGATTCGAACGCTTGATGGAAAAGTAAGGTCTAGAATGCCATTCTGGCAAAGCTGTAGTGGGGAGCACTTTCTTCAGTAGGCACCCCACCTGAGCGTCTATCTAAATTATTCTTAAATAGTACAGTAGTTACTGTGCTGAAGCTGTTGTTTGTTATAGATTTACCCTTTGCTGTCTCTAGTACTTAGTCGTTGTCTCCCTTCTGTTCTGTGAGCTTTCCACTGTTTTTCCTTTTGATCCTCATTTAGAAATGTTCCTTCAGGTTTTTCTATTTATCTAGGTCATTTCAGTCATTTCTTGCAGATTCTTCCCATTATTTCAGAACATATAAACACGGCTGCTATGGAAATGAAGGCAGAAGTTTTGCTTCTGTGCCTGGGAAGAGGGTCTGGCACAGGACAAGCATCAATCATCATTTGTCAACTGACTGAATGAAAAGTTTTACAGTCAGCAGAGGGCACTGTTTGTCTTTGATATCCTGAAACAAAACTAGGAATTAGCATTGTCTTTCTTGCGATTGAAGAGCAGGAGAACTTTGACACTGTTTGCATGGTACAGTAACCAAAAATATCCAGCCCAAGCTATAGAAAAGTAAGGATAGCCAGTTATCCAGCTGATTACCTTGGTTATCCCTTACAGTGAAGTTGGGGTTGTTGGCAGCCTCAGGAGCCAAGCTGTAGTAGAAATGCTGACCATTATGCGGGTCATCTTGGTCCACTGCACTCACTGTCTGGATTAACTGAGAAAGGGACATGAAATCCGGTGAGCTGCAGTACGCGACAAAGCATCAGAACCCAGGGAAATCTCATGACAGGAGGTTTTACCTAAAGAGAATGTCATCGTGAAACTTACCTGGAACTTCTCCATGCCATCCCACAACTCAGGATTTAATTTGGTTTTATTGTCAGGTCTGAGCATGTTATGGCCATAGGACAGATATTACCTAAATATCTCAGATTTTAGATACCAGTATAACTTGTATTTCTACCCTGCTGCCAGCCATGTTCAGGCAATATAAATATGAGACTGAATTAAAGGACTCTGTGGTTCTACATGGTCCAGCTTGTCCCTAATTTTCCTACTTCCATCCCATCTTCTCCCATCTTCCTAACCTCATCATTGGGCAAATATTTCAGGGTAAATTTCTTTCCTTGGAGGAGATGTACAATTTGGGACATGCTCAATCTGTCTTGCCCCAAATGGTAGAGTTAGAAACGTGCCAGGGGATTCCAATTCAACTCCATCAAGGTAGCACATACCAATGCCATCTCACTAGTCCAAGTGATCAATTTCAGTTCACAATTAATCATAATGATAGGTCTAAGAGTCAAAGGGATCACATAAACAAGACTAGTGTCTGCTAATACTAACTGATAGAATTAAAAAGGAGAGAACGATCCAACATGGGAAGTGGGATACACAGCAGACTCATAGAATGGCAGATGTCCTAAACAGCACTCTGGCCTCAGAATCAGCCCTTAAGGCATTTGGATCTTGCTGAAGAGCCCATGAGAGTATTTTAGGCATGGAAAGCCAAGACACTCTGGCAAAAAAACAAACCAAAACAAAACAAAACAAAACCCACCTAAATGAAAGATCTCTGCTAGTGAGATCAAGTAGAAAGAAGAGGGCCATCAAAGAAGGAGGTACCTTTCTCTGAAGGGAGGAAAGAACTTCCACTCTGACTATGACCTTGTCTGAATAAGATCGGAGTTGGTGAACTCAAAAGGCTTCCATAGCCTTGGCAGCTCATGACAAGAGCCTAGGGTGATTTCTGATGCCATAAACAAGAGTGTCAATTTGTTAAGTCAACAACAGGGAGTCACTGTGCACTTACTGCTCATGTAGGATCTCTGTCCTTAATGTGTTGTACAATGTGAATTAATGCTATAACTAGTATTCAAACAGTACTTTACACTTTGTTTCTGTGTGGGTGCAAACTGTTGAAATCTTTACTTAATATATACTAATTGATCTTCTGTATATAAAGATAATTGAAAATGAATCTTGATGTGAATGGAATGGGAGAGGGAGCGGGAGATGGGAGGGTTGCAGGTGGGAGGGAAGTTATTGGGGTGGGGGGAAGCCACTGTAATCTAAAAGCTGTACTTTAGAAATTTATATTTGTTAAATAAAAGTTAAAAAAAAATTCTTCCCTTGAGAAGCACCTATTTAAGAATGATTACTATCTAAGAAGACACATCAGCAATGGCTATGTCAGGTTAATGGAAGTCAGGTGTGGGGACTGGGTCAAGGGGCAGTCAGTTTTTGATGGCATTAAGGGGACCTAGAAAAGGTGTAGCATGCAAGCATCCTCAGGGTGGGGTGTAGAGCACAGCCCACAGTCAGAGTCGAAGCCAGGAGTAGGAAGCCTATGAGGTGACGTAGTTTCCTCTTGTGCTCTTTGGCTAAGGGTTGACTTCTTCACAGTGTTCTTTAAAGGACTAAGTTGGCATGAAGGCTGGGAAGACCATGATGCAAAAGCTATTTAAAAAACAGGTTGTGTGTGAAAGACAACCTGAACATCAGTGCGCAGGTTGGGGGATACAGAAAAGGTGGTGAAGGGGTATTTCCTGTGTTTGCTTCTCTGCACCAATGGCTCAGACTGCCTCCAACCCTCTTGATCCTGGTCCTATAGATTTGCCACTTGTGCTGTTCAATGCTGTGACTCTGCTAGGCTGGGAACCAGGACATCAAAGGTCATCTGGGAGCCCCAAGCTGGCTTTCTTAGTCTGTATGTCTTCATCTGCAGGTTAAGGGAGGTAGTGCTACCCTCACAATGTTCTGAAGGCTGAGTAACAGAGGGGAGAGCTCCCAGCAAGGGGCCTTCTGGACTCTGTTGCTCAGATCCCCTTCAGTGATGGACTTGTTGCCCTGGGCCTTCACCCACTAGTCTCTTCAGGGATTGCCCCAGTTGTGGGTAGCCACCTTACCCGTGGTTACTAAGTCCTTCCAAGACAACTTATGTGTAATGACTGATCGATATGATAGTATAAAGTCCTGGCTATGTCATCTCAACTCGGGAAAACTTTAGTTCTAGAATGCTCTGTGAAGTCATCTGAGACTATTAGTGGGTTTGTGTTGCTGCTAGATTTCTTTTGCCTAGTTCTGTTCCTTTTTCTTCCCTTCTACAGGCCCCAAGGAACCTCCTTATTAAACCTCTTGTGGGCAGTGCTGTGGCTCAGCAGGTTAAGCTGTGGCCTGCAGTGCCAGCGTCCCATTTGGGCGCTGGTTCCTGTCCTGGCTGTTCCACTTACGATCCAGCTCCCTGCTAATGCACTGGGGAAAGCAGCAGAAGATGGCCCAAGTTCCTAGGCCCCTGCCACCCACTTCGGAGACCCGGAATAAGCTCTTGGCTCCTGATTTTGGCCTAGCCTAGCCCTGGCTGTTGTGGCCATTTGGGGAGTGAACTGGTGGATGAAGATATCTCTCACTGTCTTTCCCTCTCTCTCTCTCTATAACTCTGCCTTTGAAATTAATAAATAAATCTTAAGGAAAAAAAAAACCCTTCTACAGAACTCCATTTTGGCATATTCATCCTGGAGAAACTGAATGTTGAATCTACAAGTAGTGGAAATGAAATTGCAAGAATTCCTGCAGGTAGTGGACATAAACTTGCTCCCAGTTAAACTGCCCAGGGTCGCCTGCCTGCCCCCTCCCTGCCTACGTATAAATCCTGCTCTTTGCATTTTGCCTGTAGTGCAACCTATATAGAGGTAAGATAGTTCTCAAGGAATTTTATAAATGGGTGATTATGTGTAACTTGGCAAACATGGTTGGGAAAGTAATTCCAGAACATGTGACCTGTGAATTTTGTTTGTGTCAATGCTATGGGGCTGGGAGTAGAGGGGTGGTTGGTTGTGGGCTTGAAGGCATGAGTGGATGCTGCTGTTGGGGTCTGGGTGGGAATACCATGCTTGCCCCCTGCTCTCATTTCCAGATAGCCCCACTTGTCATGCAGTGTCCTGCTTAGTATGCTTCATTCTGTCCTCAGTGGAAGGTTGTCTGCCCTCTCCCAGGCTTCCTTCTTGGTTAAGGGTAGAGCACACATCCAGATGTGGCAGACAAGAAACTGATGTAACGTCCCACAGGTTAACACAAGGAAGCCTGATTCTTTATAAACCAGACATACCCCCTGAGCTGGGCTTTTGAAAATCTTCACAACATTTCCTAGAACCTAAATCAAAGGATAGGATTTGCGGTATCTTGGGCTAAAGCTGACTAATATGACAGACTTGTAGCTCATGCCATGAATGCGAAATCACAGATAAGCTGCACTTGAAAGCATCATATAAAGCCTGTTAAAAACCATACTTGGAAATGACGGATGTGTGTGTTTGACTCCGAAAGCAGGCAAGGCAGTTAAAATGCTGTCAATTTGTAGGAGTGCAATTCCTCTGAGGCCTTTTAAGAAAGCGAGGGGTTTAATTTACTGTGCATTTATCTTCCTGTTTATATTATAGATCAAAATTAATCTCCTTTGTTGTATTATCAGATATTTATATTTGTCATTTTATTTTGTAACAAAACAAAATGCATTAGTGTATATAAACTATCATATTATAATACTTAGCAAAATGTTATTAAAGAAAGACCCAGGGGCCGGCGCCGTGGTGCGGTAGGTTAATCCTCTGCCTGTGGCGCCAGCATCCCATATGGGCGCTGGTTCTAGTCCTGGCTGTTCCTCTCCGGCTCTCTGACATGGCCTGGGAAAGCAGTAGAAGATGGCCCAAGTCCTTGGGCCCCTGCACCCACATGGGAGACCGGGAAGAAACATGTCTCTCCCTCTCACTGTCTGTAACTCTACCTCTCAAATAAATAAATCTTAAAAAAAAAAAAAAAAAGACCCAAAGCTTCTCAACTCAAAGTTCAGCTATCTCAGCTCAGTAACTGCCACGTTTGAAACTTCCCTCCCAGTCTTTGTTCATGTTTAAACATGTAGTCCATACCCTTCTTTCTTTGCCCATAATAACAGGAACCATTTCTTGTGCTATACGGCCTTCATGGTAATTTTTATTAGCTGCACAATGTTTTACGTCTTTCTAGGCTAGAAATTCAGTAGATTTGGAAGTAGAATGATTCTAGACTTGTTCAAAAGAAGACTTCTAGAAGGGCTATAGACCATTGCACCAAAGAATCACTCATGCATAAGATCAGTTACAATCAGAATTACTGTAGGACATCTTTTCCCTTGAAGGGGTGGGAATCATTTTTTGTTCGTTTAAAAATATTTATTTTTTTTTTTATTTGAAAAGCAGGGAGAGAGAGCGACAGAGAGTGATCTTCCATCTGCTGGTTCATTCCTTAAATGTGCACGACAGCCAGGATGGCCTGGGCTTGAAGTCAGGAGCTTAGAACTCTGTATGGGTCTCACACATGGGTGGCAGGAACCCAGGTCCTTGAGCCATCACCTGTTGCGTCCTAGGGTGGACATTAGTGGAAGCTGGAGCAGAAATGGAGGAGCTGGTGTTCGAATCTGACACACCAACGAGGGATTCAGGGAGCTCATGTCAGCTTTGGTTATACAGACATATTCTCTCTGTGTTCTAGGCCAGTGAGAGAAGCAGCAGCAAGGCTGCCTTCCAGTTGGAGGCCTGAATGACAGAGGCAGGAGTGCTTGCCTTATAGATATGCACGTCCTAAACTCCTAAGGTTCCTTTTATGATGATCCCAGCCCATTTGCCCCATCACCAGAACCCACGGGAGCACAAAGGTGTAGTGGAGAGGAAGAAGTTAGAACTCTTAGGGACTCTGTTGGCTCATAGGTAGAGGAGAAAAGTCTTAGAAAAGCAGGGGCAAAATAGGGGAGATGGGGAACAGGTTGTGAGGGGTGATGGTAACACATGCCTTAATGCACAGTCACTCCAAATCGAGTTTCAGATGTTTCTCATTTATATCACTTGGAATTTGATCAACTGAATATTCAATTAGGTTGGAAAGTATCCTTTAAAAAATATTCAAGGGAATTTCTGAAGATTATGGAACTAGATACTTCAAAGAAGTTGAACTTTGTTTCTTCAGATCACATCCCTCTCAAAACTATCTGCCAGAAGCAGAGCTAAGAAAATGGGTATTTTAGTTGAGGGAAGACAGAGGGCAGGAAACTCTAGGCAAAGCAAGCATTCCTAGAATAGGGTAGGCAGGTCCAAAACCAGGTACTTGTTGTCAAGAGTTAAGAAAGAGAGGTGGGAAGATGTAAAAAAGACAGTTTTCTTACTGCAAAATATGTTCAGGGATTGGTTCTGCTCTCAGAGAAAGGGAAGGTTTCCTCCTCCTCCTCATCTGCATGGTCCCTCACCTGTGGACCCAGAGCATGTTTTTATAGTTGGCAAAAACTGTTTGGGCCAGTGCTGTGGCAAAGCAGCTAAAGCCACTGCCTGCAGCCCTGGCATCCCATATGGGCACTGGTTTGGGTCCTGGCTGCTCCACCTCCAATCCACCTCCCTGCTAGTGCTCCTGGGAAAAGAAAGTAACATGGCTCAAGTGCTTGGGCCCCTGCAGAAGCACCCAGAATACGCTCCTGGCTGCTTGCTTCAGCCTGGCCCAGCCCTGGCTGTTGGTGGCCATGTGGGGAGTGAACCAGCAGATGGAAGATTCTCTCTCTCTCTCTCTCTCTTTCTCTCTCTCTCTCTCTGCCTCTCCCTCTCTGTAACTTTGCCTTTCAAATAAATGAATGCATATTAAAAAAAAAGAACAGTTTCAAGGTGAGTGGATCCCTTATATAGGCTGTGAATCAAGCCACCATGAGAGCACAGTTTAGATATAAAATGCAACGTAGACTCTGAATAGTTTAAACTCTTGAAACCTGATATACAAAAGTTGAGGAATCTGTCTTGTAAACTGTTTCTGGAGTCGAAATGTCTTTGATGGTGAATTTGGTTATCGCTAATAGTCCCACGTGTTGGGGATTAGCTAAGGTGCGTGCCCAGGCCCCTTACCTGCCCTGCCTTGGCATTCTCGCAGACGACAGCGTCGTGGAATCGGGGGAACTCTGGAGCATTGTCGTTCACATCTAGGACTTTGATAGTGACGGAAACACTTCCCACCTGGGAGGGATTGTCTATAGAGAACACGAGGAAAACCAAAGATAAGAGTTCTGTAAGTGCAGAAAAACAGCTCCTTGCTGGACATGGGTATTCACCTGGCTATTCTGGCTTTTAAAGAAATCGATAAAGCACATGGAAATGATAACACAAGCATGTATGCACGTGTTCCTATTTAGAGTGTGGCAAGACTGAAGAGGCTCAGACAGAATGAGGCATACATGAGTGTTTGCTATCCAGGGTGTGAGGGGAAGGGTGAGACTGGAGAGGGAGCAGGTGTCACCAGCAGAAGCTTAGAGAGAATCCCACTTTGCTCATGCTTCGGGATTTGGAATTAAAGGCAGGTCCATCTGTATTCCGGACTTTAAAAGAGCCCATTTCTAATTGGATGCACACTATGTGGCACTGCTTGGCTTTCTTGCTGTGAAATAATCAGATCTTTGAATTGTATTTCAACAAGATTTCAAGTTATTCACTGGAATACAGATAACACACACACACACACACACACACACACACACTTCCTTCCTTCCTTCCTATGTTTTAAAAAAAATATTTTGAAAGGCAGAGTTACGGAGGGAGGGAGGAGAGAGGAGAGAGGAGAGAGGAGAGAGAGAGAGAGAGAGAGAGAGAGAGAGAGAGAGAGAAATGCTTCCATATGCTGATTCACTCCCTGAATGGACACTGGGGCCAGTCAGTCCAAAGCCGGGAGCCTGGGTAGCAGATGCCCACGCACTTGGGCCATCTTCTGCTGTTTTCCCAGGCACTTCAGCAGGGAGCTGGGTCAGACGTGGAGAGCCAGAGACTCAAACTGGTGCCTCTGTGGGATGCCAGCTTTATAGGCGGCAGCTTAACCTACCATGCCACAGTTCCTGCACATTTATTTTTGATGTGAGGCTGAGGGGATACTGAAAGATCAAGTACATCCCAATCAATACACAATTATTCTTAAGTGCTGAAACTTAACTGAAAAGCGATCGCTGTTAAATATAAGAGTGGGGATAAGAGAGGGAAGAGATGTGCAATTCGGGACATGCTCAAGCTGACTTACCTCAAACGGTAGAGTTAGAAACATACCAGGGGATTCCAATTCAATCCCATCAAAGTGGCATGTACCAATGCCATCTCACTAGTCCCAGTGATCAATTTCTGTTCACAATTGATCATAATGATAGGACTAAGAACCAAAAGGATCATATAAACAAGAATAGTGTCTGCAAATACTAGCTGATAGAATAAAAAAGAGAGAGAACGATCCAACATGGGAAGTGAGATACACAGCAGACCCATAGAATGGCAGATGTCCTAAACAGCACTCTGGCCTCAGAATCAGCCCATAAGGCATTTGGATCTGGCTGAAAAGCCCGTGAGAGTATTTCAGGCATGGAAAGCCAAGACACTCTGGGGGGGAAAAAAAAACCTAAATGAAAGATCTCCACGAGTGAGATCCCAGTGGAAAGAACGGGTCATCAAAGAAGGAGGTACCTTTCTCTGAAGGGAGGAGAGAACTTCCACTTTGACCATGGCCTTGTCTAAAAATGATCAGAGTCGGTGAACTCAGGGGGCTTCCATAGCCTTGGCAGCTCATGACAAGAGCCTAGGATGATTACTGATGCCATAACAGAGTGTCAAATTGTTAGTCACACAGAGTCACTGTGCACTACTCCTCATGTAGGATCTCTGTCCTTAGTGTGCTGTACATTGTGATTTAATGCTAAAACTAGTACTCAAACAGTATTTTTCACTTTATGTTTCTGTGTGGGAGCAAACTGTTGAAATCTTTACTTAATGTATGCTAACCTGATCTTCTGTATATAAAGAGAATTGAAAATGAATCTTGATGTGAATGGAAGGGGAGAGGGAGTGGGAAAGGGGAGGGTTGCGGGTTGGAGGGATGTTATGGAGGGGAAGCCATTGTAATCCATAAGCTGTACTTTGGAAATTTATATTCATTAAATAAAAGTTAAAAAGAAAAAAAAAAGATCAAGTACATCCCAAATCCCTGTCTCAGGCTGGAGAACTTTCCTATAGTCAATAATGGAGAAATCTGTCTTTTTGGTGTGGATCTTCTGCTTGCAGTATTGCTACACAGAATCAACTTCACAGCTCCAGTAGAATCAACTTCACAGCTCCAGTAGTGACCCTCCTATCTTTTTCTCCAAGGTGACAAAATAGAAATTAAGACACAGAAAATATTCTTAGTAAGTAACTAAATCTCAGAATGTATTGTTCTTCTGATTCGTTTTTTCCTTCCTTTCTTTATAAAAAAAGGACCATGCTCTCCTGGGTTTTGGTTAGGACAAAGTGGCAACGTAATTAAAAATTTATTTTCCATTGTTTTGCTATGATGTATTTAGTCAATCTCATAATATTATACATTTAAATAATTCCCATTCTCCCCTCATTTGAAAATAACATTGCAGTAGACATTTTGTTGTAATAATCATTGGTAATACCTATAATTATTTCCTTAAGATAATTACTAGCCATAGAATTCCTGAGAAAAAAATATGAATATTTTAGAGATTATTAATACGTATTGCCAAATTGCTCTCCAGCGGCTGTGTCTGGTTATACAGCTGATTGGTTGGAGACTTCCATTTCTGTGAAACTTTTTACCATCACTAGGCATTATGGGAAAAAAATGGAAGCTAGTTGTATACAAAAGTACTTCAAAAAGTTTGTGGAGTGGCAGAGGTTTGATGCAGTGGTTCAGGCACAGCTTTGGATGCCCACATCATGGATCAGAGTGCCTAGATTTGAGTCTTGGCTCTGCTTCCAATTCTAGCTCCCTTGTTAGTATATTCCATGAGAGGCAGTAGGTGATGGCTCAAGTACCACCTGTGTGGGAGACCTAGATGGATTTCCTTGCTTCCAGTTTTGGCTGGGGTGTTGCTGACATTTGGGGAGTCACTGGCACATGGAAAATCTCAGTAGGTATGTCTCATTCTGTCTATATCACTGCCTTTAAACTAAATAAATAAATTTAAAAATTTTCAAGTTTGTAGAAAAAATGAATTAAAAGATGTTTATTTTGGGGCAAAAAATTGAGTTTCATACATAATTTTTTAATATCCATAGACTTTCTGGACTCCTCATGTCTTGGACTTCAAAATTTTTTGAACCAAAATAAAATTCTCTTTTAACCCATTTTCCACAAACTTTTGGAAGTGTTGTATAATTTTAAAATTTATATTAATCTATTTTTATTTTTAATTGCATTTATAAGTTTATTATGTTATATATGCCTTTTATTCTAAGATGCCTCAGATTCTTGCAGACATGGATATGCATGTGTAATACCAGTGATATCAATGGTTCCTTTCATCCAATAGTAATATTATTATTATTATTATTTTTTGACAGGCAGAGTGGACAGTGAGAGAGACAGACAGAGAGAAAGGTTTTCCTTTGCCGTTGGTTCACCCTCCAGTGGCTGCCGCGGCCGGCGCGCTGCCGCCGGCGCACTGCGCTGATCCGATGGCAGGAGCCAGGTACTTATCCTGGTCTCCCATGGGGTGCAGGGCCCAAGTACTTGGACCATCCTCCACTGCCACAGCAGAGAGCTGGCTTGGAAGAGGGGCAACCGGGACAGAATCTGGCCCCCCGACCGGGACTAGAACCCGGTGTGCCAGCGCCGCAAGGCGGAGGATCAGCCTAGTGAGCCGCGGCGCCGGTGTAATATTATTTTACATTATTTTTCATTCCCAATATTACTAATGTTTGAAACCCTCTCAGATTTATCATAGCTGCTTTGGGGTTAGAATACTATATCTTTACTGCTTTTGCATGTGTTATTTGCTTTTATAGCTAGCATAGAACTAAATATACAGAAGAAGCCCAGAAGTATTTGAATTGAATATGCACTTACTCAGAAAAACCATGATTTCTATTTCTTCCCTTAAAGAAGATGATTTTCGTTACAAGTTCTAGAAGCTTCCACTTTCTATAATACATTTTGTTGCTATATGGAGACCAATTGATTGTGTTACTTACTCATTTCCATAGCAAGAACAGTGATATTGTGCCAAGAAAATTCTTCCCGGTCTAGGGGTCTTGCAGTCATGAGGGCACCTGTTGTAATGTCGACATAGAAAAATCTTCCAGGGTCACTGCTTCTGTCAATGGAGTATCTATAAAGATATGAATTGTGTACATCAGTTGCATTTGATAGACTTACAACAGCATGTTGCTGAGAGAACTGAACACATACTGAGTGAGCAATACCTAGCTCCACCAGTTCTGGACTGCATTTGCAGTATTATCGTGTTAGAAAATAAGGGCCCCTACACCCCTCAAAATAGCCCAAACAAAAACTATTACTGCTTCATTGTTCTCACTCGGAAAATGTAATAAGGAGATGCCAAGAGTCTTAGGGCTCTTTTTTTTTTTTTTTTTTATAAAGGTTTATTTATTTGAAAGGCAGAGTGACAGGGAGGGGAGAGGGAGAGAGATTGAGAGAGAGATACCTTTCCTCTTGGCTTTAGCTGGGGCTGGGCTTGGCCAAAGCCAGAAGCCAGGAACTACATCCAAGTTTCCCAAGTGGGTGGCAGGGACTCAAGTGCTTGAGCCACCATCTGCTGCCTTCTCAGGCATGTTAGCAGGAAGCTGGATTGTGGATGGAATATCCTGAATCACGGAAGTCTGATATGGAATGTGGGCCTCCCAAGTGACAGCTTAACCCCTTGTACCACAGTGCCCACCCCAGGGTGGTTTTAAACTATTTGAAGAGCAGTTTATGCTATTTAAAGCTTAAAACTGCTCTGTGGATTTTTGAACACCCTGAATACTGACACCTATATCTATAAAGTTTCTAATAAATTTTATTCAAATGACTTCTCAAATGCTAATCTTAAACTAGAAAAAGGACAAAGATATAGTTCAGTGGCTCCAGTCCTTACCATTAGTATCACCCTGTTGGAAAGGAAAGCTTTACACAGGCCCTTTGTAAACCTGCTAATGACTCACCTTCTGGCAAACACAATAGTGGTATTTATAGCAGAAGAGCCCTTACGTTTGGAATGCTTTTAGCAGGGTGGAATAGGACTGTCTAGGTTGCTTATTATAAATAAGCCTACTTTTTATGAATTTATGGGTTGCTGCCTGCTGGAAAATGTCAGGTAAGGTATGTAATTAATGGAGTAGAACAGCAGATGTTCCATAACAGAAATGGCTTTCTGTTTAGGCAGTACACTTCATTCACTGCTTCTTCCTCTTGAGTTCAGTCTGGGCCAATGTGTGTCTTCATGCAGGGAAAGAAGGGTATTTACAGGCACTGGACCTTGACAGTGTCAGACCTCTCCCAGCAGAGTGCCTGACATGTGTTTTGCTGTTGTCTGTCTCCTTTGAGTCATTTGTGAACTTGGTCCTGGGTAAGAGCTATAATTCCTGTGGAATCTGATTTGGGCAATCCAATAACTTTGTGTTACCTTATTTGGTCCTCATCTTGAGAAAATGAATAAAGATAGGGGGAGGCTCTGGTATCTGTATGTTTAAAACCCTCCCTGAGGCCGGCGCTGTGGTGTAGGGGGTAAAGCCGCCACCTGCAGCGCTGGCATCCCATATTGGCTCTGGTTTGAGTCCCAGCTGCTCCACTTCCCATCCAGCTCTCTGCTATGTCCTGGGAAAGCAGTAGAAGATGGCCCAAGTCCTTGGGCCCTGCACTCGTGTTGGAGACCCTGGAAGAAGCTGCTGGCTCCTGGCTTCGGATCAGCTCAATTCCAGCCATTGCAGCCATCTGGGAAGTGAACAAGTGGATGAAAGATCTCTCTCTCTCTGCTTCTGCCTCTGCCTCTGCCTCTCTGTAACTCTTCCTTTCAAATAAATAAAAGTAAGTCTTTAAAAAAATTTAAAAAAAAAAACCGTCCCTGAAGGATTGTGATTTATAGGCATCATTGAGACCCATCTTTGAGAACTTCATGTAGTCCTTGGTAAAGACCAGCCATTATAATGTTTATTTTTAACTGATAAATGATAATTATATGTGTTTGTGGGATACATGTGATGTTTCAACATGTGCATATGCCATAGGATGATCAAATCAGGCTAATTTACATATCTATCACTATTATCTCACATATTTATCATTTCTTTGTTGTGAGAACATTCAAAATCTACTCTCTTAGAGTTAGGTCCCTGTCACCCATGTGGGAGGCCAGGAGTGAGTTCCTGGCTCCTGGCTTTGGTCTGGCCCAGCCCCGGCTGTTGCAGGCACGTGGGAGTGGGTCAGCAGGTGGGAGACCTCTCTCTTTTTTTCTGTCTGCTTTTCAAACAAATATATCCTTTTAGTAGTTTTGAAATACACAGTACATTATTATTATTGTTACTGTTTACATATTTATTTATTTGAAAGGCAGAATTACAGAGAGAGAGGGAGAGACAGAGAGAGATCTTCTATCTGCTCTTTCACTCCCCAATTAAATTGCCAAAACAGCTGGATCTGAGCCAGGAGCTTCCATAGTCACAATGCTGCACAACAGATGACCAGAACCTCTTCTTACTGGCTGGATACCTTCTCTTCCCCTATTCTCTTGGAGCCACCATGCTACTGTCTTCTGTGGGTGTGACTTTTTTAGATTCCACATATAAGTGAGATCAGGAAATATTTGACTTTCTTTTTTTTAAAGATTTATTTATTTATTTGAAAGGTAGTTACAGAGAGGCAGAGACAGAGACAGAGAGATCTTCCATCCACTGGTTCACTCCCCAAATGGCTGCAGTGGCCACAGCTGACCTGATCTGAAGCCAGAAGCCAGAAGCCAGGAGCTTCCTCCGGGTCTCCCATGCGGGTGCAGGGGACCAAGCACTTGGGCCATCTTCCACTGCCTTCTCAGGCCATAGCAGAGAGCTGGATCAGAAGTGGAGCAGCTGGGTCTTGAACCAGTGTCCATATGGAATGGTGGTACTGCAGGCGGTGGCTTTACCTGCTATGCCACAGCAATGGCCCCCAATATTTGACTTTCTGTGCTGACTTATTTCACTTAACATAATGTCTTTAGTTGATTCATTCATGTCATCACAAATGATATAATTTTCTTTTTTAAGAACAACTCAGCAAAATAAATTCCAGTTTATTTTTGGACCACATTGTTTTATACATACATCAAACAGGTCTAAAAATAATTTCTTCTTTTTAAAAACCATTTTAATTATTTGAGAAGTAGAGGAACAGAGAAAGAGATGGACAGACAGAGAGGGGGAACTGCTATCCACTGATTCACTCTCCAGATGCCTGTAATGGCCCCTGGTTGTGGCTAAAGCTGGGCGCCTGGAATTCAATCCAGGTCTCCCATGTGGGTAGTGGGAACCCAATTACTTGGCCATCCCTGCTGCCTCTCAGGGTCTGCATTCACAGTAAGCTGGAATTGAGTAGAGCTGGGACTTGAACCTGAGCATTCAGATAGAAGATGTGGGCATCCTACCTGCTGGGCTACCCACTCCAAGTTTCCTTCTTTTTAAAGGTTGAAGAATATGGCAGTGTTTATAATCACATTTTAAAAAAACTCATTCATCTGTGTTTGGGCACTTTGATTGTTTCCATATCTTGGCAATTGTGAATAGTGCTGAACATGGAAGTACAGACATCTTTCTCATATACTGAAATTTTTCACACTGATTATTTTGCATTTATACCCAAAATATAATATACCCAAAATATAGCTAGGTCATATAGTAATTCTGTGTTTAGTTTTATTGGGAACCTGCATACAGTTTTTTTTTCATATTGACTGTATAAATCTGTGTTTCCACTAACAGTGTACAAGCGTCCCCTTTTCTTAACATCTTTGCCAACACTTTTATCTTTTATCTTTTTGATCATAGTCATTCTAACAGATTACCTCACTGTGTTATTTCACTGTGGTTTTAATTTGCATTTCCCTGGTGGTTTTAGCATTTTTTCATGTATCTCTTGTTTATTTGTATGCCTTCTTTTGAGAAATGTTTATTCAGGATATTTTGTCCATTTTAAAAAATAATTAAACATTATTTTTTTACTTTAATTTTAATTGGTTTTTAACAGGTTTGATGTGATTTGTTGATACAATTCTAAGCACATAATCATATTCTCATCCTCCCTTCTTCCCTGTTTTGTCCATTTTTAAACCAGGGTTATTTGTCTTGATTCAAAATATACAAAAATACAAATCTATAGTAATCAAAGCAGCATGGGCCTGGCGCAAAAACAGACACATTGATGGAGAGCCCAGAAATAATCCCATGCAATTACAACCAATTAATTGATTTTTGACAAAGGTACCAAGAACATATAATGAGGAAATGGCAGTCTCCTCATTAAATGGTGTTGGAACATTGGCTGCCATATATGGAAGAATGAAATTGCCCTTTATTTGATCCTTTATTTGCCCTTTATTTGAAAGGGGCCGATGCCATGGTGTAGTAGGTTAAGCCTCCGCTTGTAGCACTGGCATCCCATATGGGTACCGGTTCCAGTCCTGGCTGTTCCACTTCTAATCCAGCTCCCTGCTAATGGCTTGGGAAAGCAGTGGAAGGTGACCCAAGTGCTGGGGCCACTGCAGCCATATAGGAGACCAGAAGAAGCTCCTGGCTCCTGGCTTCAGATCTGCCTAGCTCTGGGCAGTTTGGGAGTGAACTAGTGGATGGAAGATCTCCCTCTCCCCCTCTCTGCCTCTCCCCCTCTCCCCCTCTCTCCCTCTCCCTCTGTATATGTGTGTACAATATATACCTGTATATATTTGTATATTATTTGGTAGAATGTTTTGTTGTGCAGAGATTCAGGATGGCTATTCAGAGTTAGGAATTAGAGATAAATGATGAATAAGGCCTAGAGACATCAGAATTATTCTAGTTTATGACTGTCTGAGAGTTAGAAATTTAAGGAAGCAAACTAATGTATTAATGTGCCTGTGACCCCATTTAACAAACATGTATTATATGCCAGGTACCACTTAACATAGCCTGTATCCATTGACTCATTTAGTCTTTTTTTTTTTTTTTTAAATGTATTTATTTATTGGAAAGGCAGAGATACAGAGAGAGAGAGAGAGGGAGAGAAAGAGAGAGAGAGATATCTTCCATCCTCTGGTTTACTGCCCTAATGGCTGGGCCAGGCCGAAGCCAGGAGTTTCACCTGGGTTTTCCATGTGGGTGCAGG